CAGCAGTAGTAGCAGAAGGTTAGTCTGTCTATTTCATCAATACACTGTACGAACATGCAATCGATATAGTCAATTCAAGAAACAAACGCACCTGCACAAATTTCAGGCAAAAGACGCAATCATTGACGCAACTACCAGCCCAAGAAACCCAAAGTTAAAACATGAAAACATCGTATTATACGCGTCAGAGGTTAATGTCGCACAAAGTGCTGTTGTGTATTAATTGAACCTTATTAACAAATTCTTTCTTCGGGGTTTTTTTACGTGGTTCCCCGATAGAGCATATGAATTTGCTCGTCAAAAATTGATAATGCTTTATAGTTTTTATTGCACTCTTTTTTCCATACCTGCTTTCTTTTTACTACACTGGCGTGAATGCGTTTTCATATCTTGAATCTGTTTCGTCGACATTCGAAAGAATTAACAACAAATAATAGGATAGATGTTACAATGAACTTTAAATATGTATTAGTAGAAAACTTAAAAGTCAGGCGACACTAACGTGTGATTGTATGTTACACGTTTCATGTTCCGGTGTGAGTGATACACTTCTTGACAGGTATCTTCAAAAGATATTATTAAATCGATGAGTTTTTGTTTAGACACGAGATCGACTAAAAAAGAAATCATCAGGGAACATTTATTACGTATATGAACTAAAGAAAATTAGAACTAAAGCTTGAGAGGGAGTGCGAGACGTATGCGAAGCATAGCCACATCAAAAATTCAGGTGCTAACGGTAATGGAGAACACAATCTTTTGTGTTTATTTTTGTGTATGTGGAGTACTTCATTGTGTATGACCGGGAAAAATTAACTACGATTCTTTGTGTAATTATTTTTATTTTTTATTTTTATTTTCGAGATAATTTTTCCAAAATCCTCGATTAGAAAGAAAGAAGTAGGGGAAATATCAGAGTATGAAAAAATATAAAGATCCGCTGATACGCTGCTGTTGTTGATATTATTATTGATGCGGGCGAGCGTGATGGTGTGGTGTAAGGTTCTTTTTTGTTGTTTATACATTGCGATGTGATGGTTATTTAACATTTGTGCGTGACAAAAATTATCAACGTAGCGTATTGAATTTTAATTAATTTTAAATCCTGCAGAAATTAAAAATTGAATTAATTTATTTCTTGGAAGGATTTTTTTTGAAATTATTGATCCGTGATTCGGGTCTGATTATGAAATTCCGCTTTAAAAACAGAAACGAAAGTGAAATAAGGTTAGTCATTTTCTATGCTGCAATCAATCGAAGGGATAATAACAACAACAACATCATCATCATCATCAACAGCAACAACATATCATCAGAAAACAATATGAATCCATCCTCATTTTTGATAGATTAATTAATCAATCAATCAATCCCTTCCTTGGTTAAAATTCGACTGATGTTGTGTGCTATTTTATTGTGATTGTTTCTTTCCCCCACCATCTTCTCTTTCCATTTCGGGCCATTTCGTACACTCTATCATTTATTTACTGTAACAACCAACTACAGTTAATTTATTTACACACACACACACACGCACATTTGATAAAGACCCCATGACGTCTCCATTCACTCCAATCTAATCGACTATCTATTCTCACTCTCCCCCTCTCACACAGCAATAACAGCAAATTACACAATGTTGGTATTGTCTCCCCACAAGGTCCCACGACATCATAAAAAAAAGTATCTCCAGGCTCGATTACCAAAATCAGAAGCGCTTAGGTGATAAAAATAATGGGTGTGTCAACACTGATTGTTCTTTGAAAAGGGGCGTACTGCATATATACAACGCACAAAATTCTGGTATGCCATCTTAAAGAGATGATAGAAGGTGAAAAATATTCTGATTCGGGGTGTTGGTTACTGGAATTTTAGAGTTGGAATGAATTTTTTATGGTTCATTTTGGGATGAAAGCAGGCATGAATAAAACATGTTAGTTCTTCAATAGAGAAGAATAGGTGGGATTAAGTAATATGAAAAAAGGATTAATTGAAAGAAAATCGCGTCCTGTCAAACATGCATATAATAAAGAAATTTAGACTTTTTTTTAATTATTCGGAGGACATATAAATTATGAATGCAGTGTATTTATTTATTTATCTATTTATTTATTATGTATATTTTTTTGCTATAAACGACAAAATGTTGTGTATAAAAATATCCAATTGGCCAAGAAAAGTTCATGAGGATGGGGTTTGCGCTTTGTTGTCCGTGAGAATGTCGTTTCATGTTTGACAATCGCAAGAAAAACCGGTTAATATGGTGGAGAATACGGTCGTGCCAAATAGCAAAGTCCAATTATCGAAATTATCGATGGCATCATATATTATTTATATATATTTATGTATATCTTTATCTACATAAATATATAGAGATGGATAGATAAATGAATCTGAATTTTTATATAAAAAGGTGGCAGGTTGCAAGTTGATGGAAAAAACAGGAAATGAATCGATCATAATACATTAGAGTTGAATTCCTCTCTCTTTGTTCGGGTCAAAGAGGTTTCTTCTCTCTTAACAATGTAACGATTTCTCTTTCCTCACACCCATCTATCTACTCTACCAAATTTTCCGCTTTCCCTTTTTTTCCTTCCGTTCGGTGTGCGGTTTCTGAGTCATACCGAAACCAAAAATTATGCTAGAGAAGAGCATTATCACAATAAATATTGCTCTTCTTTAATAATCATCACCACCACATCCATATGCTCTTTTTTTACTCTATGCTTTCAAATTCAAATTTTTGTTATGTCTATTTTTTTCATAACCTTCCCTTTCGTTTTCGTGCTGACTCAGAAACCGCACACGCTCTCTCCAAGTCGCATCTTACTTTTTACGTCATATTTCTTATTCGTTTTCGATAATTCGTCTTTTACATCGCTTTAATGTATCTATCACAACAATCATTCGTATTTTTCGATGACAATTTCATCTAGCAAAATGGGACGATTTTTTTTTTGCAAATAAAATTAAATCATCATATCATAATTCTCTGGATAATCAACTCAATTATCGGGTGAAGACGCGAGTAATTCTCAACAGGATTTTTTGGGTTGCGGAAATGTAACTTGTTTCCACACCTGTTCTTAATTATCATTATCGTCATCAAGTACCCGAACAAAATAAACGCACGTCCCACCATTATTTATCACTATACAACTTCTTTTTATTGCTTTGTCATCGAAACCGGGCTGTCAAATAATAAGTTCACCAATTAGGTAAGATTTTCATCGATTATTTCTATTTCCCCGCATAATCCCTTAAAAAGGATGTCAGGTGTCGGACGCAACGACGATCACTATCAATTATAATGATTATGTAATATTAACTTTATATTTTTTCATTCTTCGTTATCAGAACTTAATTACTTGACACTCTTTTTTTCGATCCGCGGTTTTCGAACGTGAGATTTGCTTCTTGTTCCGAGAAACATTTGGTCGAGTTGTCGATCATATAGACTGTACCTTCCTTCTCTAAGAAAGGTGCGACCGAACGGCAATGAAACCACCATCGATCTTCGGTAGAAGAAGAGGTAAATTTTTATTATTTGATTTTGGATAGGATTATTGGATTGGATTGGCTTGGATTGAATATTAATCTTTATTGTATTTCAAAATAGAATCTCGCATTCCGACTCTGCACCTCTACAACACCTCGCGCTAACGAACGCTCTCGTAATCCTTTTCCCTTAATTTACAAATATCAAGGGACGCTCAAACAAAAAACCATTCGTCAATTTTTCATTCGTTTAAAACGAACGACACACACGACTTTTTTTTTTACTTTCTCAGTTAGTTATCAATCTTCGTTTTTTCAAATTCGATTCGCCATAATATTTAGAAGAAAAGAAAATCAGAGGAAAATAGATTATATGAACCAAAAAACATCCAAAAAAAATTTATTCTATTATTATACACCCACCCCTACTCTACAATAACACACGCGTGTTTTTGTTTTGGAACTTGTAAATATTATTATTTTTATTTAGTTTTATCTTCTTATCCTATTATTACTATTATCTCTCCATTTATCTTTTTATTTTATCTTATCATCTATCCCATCTCATTTCATATTCTCTTTATCACGTATTCTTTTTTTTTCTCTTTGTTATTTTCCAGTTTTCTTATTTCAGAAATTTCTAAAATTTTTGAAAAACATTAGAAAATTAACTCGAAAATTTTTCACTAAAACAGTCGAAAAATATCTCAAAATAAACAAAAACAAACTAAAATACTTTGCAAAAAAAAATCTATCGAGATTTCTCGTCTCCATTATCATTGAAGTGAATGTTTGTTTGCAAAATACCGTATTCTTCCGGAAATAAGCACCACCTGACTGCCTTTTTTGGACTCCAAAATAGGGGGTTGATGCTTATTTCTAGACAATTGAATATCTACCGAATTCAATCAACATAGGTGATGCTTTTTCCTAATTAATGCAATATAAGAAAGATTATCTCCCCCGAGAAAATTGTCTAAGGTGGTGCTTATTCATAATTTTGATCTAATCCGGGAAATGGTTATTTTTATTTCCGGGAGAATACGATGTCATGGAATTTGTGGCTGATTCAGAATTAAATATCAAATCGTGTATAGCTATATATTATCGAGGATTATAATTTTACTTAGCATAATAAGGATTTAAAACTACTAAAATACCTAAATTTTATATTAATATAAAGCTGCAATTTTTTTAATATTTGTAAATTTGCAGACACGATTTATTTTATATTGAAATTCAATATAGGTAAAGTTATATTGAATTTATTAACATCCAACTCTAAGTTTGATTCGGAATCAAAACATTCTGCTCCAACTCATGTCATATATTAAATGCAAACAGTAATTCCTGAGATGTTGTTTAAAAAAATAATACCGAAATAGGATATAGCTTAATTAGTTTTATTAGAAAGGGATTCTTTTTCTTTCTCTTTCGCTTTCTCTCTTTCTTCTTTTTCTTTCATCTTTTTTTCTTGGAGAGAGGCAACAGCTTGGGACTTTTTAGCCATTTTCAGCCATGGTCTTGGTAATGGAGGTATAAGTGCCGCCTAAGTAAAAAAAAAAAGGTGATCTGTTTTCTTCTTGCTATATTTTATTGATAATTTCTTAATCACTATTTCCAAACTATCAGCACTAACCAACCTTTGCTAAAAGACGAGCGACAGGGTCACTCGGTTGCGCGCCAACACTCAACCAATACTTTATGCGTTCCTGATTCCATACGATATGCTTTTGCCGGTCCCTCGTTGGTATCGGATCAAATTCACCGACTTTTTCGATGTGTTTTCCGTCGCGCTTTGACCGAGCATTGGCAACTACTATGTGGTAAAAAGGACGGTTACGAATACCATGTCGCGCAAGACGAATACGTACGACCATTCTTTCAATTTTATGTAAATTTTGTTGGGGCACATTTTTCTAATTTTTTTTGTCATGTGGTTCCATTCTGATTGGCCACATGAGACTTTTTTGCTACGCGCGTTACACCTTTAATGCTATTTCCTTAATTTGCTTCTCAACTAGTGATATAATCATATGCTAATGATCCAGGACCATGATCATCCGCTAAACCTAACTTAAATGGATCTTTCTTGCATCATCGCGCGTCAATTCGTTCGCCCCGATCGGGATAACTTTGATCTTATTAATCTTGGCAAAAAAAATTCGCTATTAAATAATAAAACTTTCTTAAATTCAAACTATAACAACGTGTTAATCTGGCGCAAACGAAGTAAAAGCTTTACAATTCTAATCATTTTCTATATTTAAAACAAAATGATGGACGATTTTATTAGTATGGTCGTTGATGCTCCAACGCCTTCTGCACAAATTACTGGTGGGCTTCATATAGGTTTCGGATTAGCAGAGAAACTAAGTGTCTCGCTACCAAACTATATTGAGACGGCAATCGAAGTAGGCAAAGTTGTGAACCATGCAGTTATCGCTGTATTAACCGGGAACATTGCCTTCCTCGTGGATGACATTGTTAAGTTCGCTTCTGCCGCAAAACATTGTAAAGCAGAATGCAAACGTCTCGGCGAGCAAATGAAAATCGCTCGTGATTCTGCCAAAGATTTGTTAGACAAGTTAGATATGAATCCGAAGGAGATCGAAGATAAGAGTTTCGTGACGGCGTTAAAAGCGTTCGCTATCGTGTTGGAGGATGGACGCGCCGTCGTGAAGCAACACGCGGAAGCAAAGTATGGTCTAAAGATTTTTCATGCAAAAAAGTTTGCCGCGGAGTTTCAGGATATCGAAGAACGATTGGACCAGGCTTGTACTCGACTGAATCTTGCGCTCAATATTCGACGATACGTTGATAGTCAAGAGTGGGAAGAAACACATCGTACATGGCATGAAGAGGATAAAGTCGCTTTTGAACGATTAAACACGTTAGTAAAAGAATCGTTGGAAGAGATTAAGAGTGATAAACGTTTAAAAGCTTCCGCAATAGAAATACTAAATGAAACAAGTATAGTACCGACTGTCTTTACTGATTGGAAGCAATTCAAAACAGATCGAGTTTTTACCGCCACATATCATACCGTGGACGAACATAAGAATCCGTTAGCTGTTAAAACTATTGTTAAAGTAACCAGAGCGAAAGAATCAGACCCTAGTGAAATGAGATCATTTGCGCTTGAAGTTACCTATCTAAAAAAGTTAGCTCCATGTCCAAACATCATAAAATTAATAGGAACAACAGTAAAACGTGGGGTTATGGCACTTGTAATAGAGTATTGTGAAAAAGGTGATCTTCAGTCACTGATCGCAGCTGGGGATTTAAAAGGTGATTGGGGTAAAAAAAGATCGATAGCTTTGGGTGTTGCACAAGGTGAAGTAGAGAGATAGCATAATATTCTATTCTATTTGATTTATGTTCAAGCTAAAGTTCATGATTACTTATTTCAAATTGTGTTCGCAGGTGTTGCATATCTTCATGAAGCAGGAATCTTCCATAAATACATTAATAGTGGTAATATACTAATAGACAATCATTATCAGCCGAAACTTACGAATTTCCGAAAATCACGCTGGATTACCGGAATAACTCGTAGAGAAGTTGATAGTTTTGAAGAACAAATTCGTTGGACGGCTCCTGAACGTCTTGGAGATGATGTATCAGCATACACAGCCGCATGCGATGTATATTCATTTGGTATTGTATATTATGAGATTGTAACAGAGAAATTTCCATGGCAAGGACTTCAATTGGATGCAGTCTACAATATTAGAAAAGTTGAAGGAAAAGAGCTTTTACTTGATCCTATTATCCCACCAGCAATCTCAACTGTATTCACAAATTGCATCCATCATAACCCATTACAACGCTTCACAACCAAAGAAATTATCGCCCACCTCGAAGCTATTCGTCCCGAAGAATTAGAGATGAACATCTTTAAATCAGAACCATTACCGGGCTTGGAAATAATGGAAGATGAGAAATCCAACTATTTATCACCAAAATTGTATGCTAGCCTTTCATTGTCGGATGTCTCTGATGATGATGAATCACCACGGGATATTTTAGAAAATGGTGAAACACATAATCGAGTACGTGAGTGGGTAAAAGCACGTAAAGAATATGAAAAAGTGGAAGAGACATTTCCGCAAGCTTGTTTTCGGCTTGGCGAATATTATTATTATGGAAGAGGAGTGACGCAAGACTATGATAAGGCATTCGAGTACTTAGGAAGAGCAAGGTACTTAATTAATTATTGGTATATAGTGTTTATAACTGGATAAAATTAATATGATATTATTAACTGTACACATTTTAGGGATAAGGGTAATGGTGATGCGATAGACATGCTAGGGTACATATATTTAACTGGTAAGGGAGGCCCTAAGGATCGGCATAAAGCTGTAAAATTTTTCCGCGATGCAACAGAGAAAGAGATACCTTTCGCATTTTATCACTTGGGTGTTTGCTATTTTAGAGGGTGGGGTGGGTTAACAAAAGATGAAGAACAGGCCAAAAAACTAATATTTAAGGCCGCAAGAATGGGAAATGAAGATGCTCAAAAATTCGCACATTCACAAAAGTGGGACGTTCAACAAGTTATGACGGCTGGTGATGGTGATGTTGTTTAATGTTTTTTTGTGTTATTTATTTTTTAATATGGTTCAAAGGATGTGTTGTCTTTTTAATATTTGTATATAAATTCGATATTAAAATCACTTAATATATAATATCAATTTTTTTCTAAAACTTGTTCGATCCCTAACTTTATTTGTAATTAGGATGAATATATTATAATTTAGCCTTAGAAGAAAACGAGATTTGAAACATGTCATGCATTTATAAAATGAGGTAATTTCCATGTATAATTTTGAATAAACGCGTCAAATAGAATGAGTTGTTTCCACAACCTTGATGAAGAATAAATAATGGGAGATGGATGTTTATAATATTGTATGTTCTATACTGTTATTGTTATGTTAATGATAATCTAAAGAATTAGAAAATATAGTAATAAAAATAAAAAATTCGAAACTAATTCTCGTCATATTTCACGAGATCCTATCTTCTAATAGGTAATCACACGCCAAACACATAATCACATCATGAGCATTTTCAAAAGTACATCTTTTACAGGACCAAGTAGACTTGCGTATTTCAGCGTGCTTATCCATTGCTACTATAAAATCTTGATTCGTATTAACGACTGATGATATGTTCCGAGTGTTTGGGCCAGAATTTGTGACATCTATGTGACGTTTGGTATTACAAACTTCACATTGAAGGACCAAAGGTTTGTTCACCAATGTACAAGAGATACATGTCCATTCTGCCCAGTCTTCTGCTGCTGATGATTCTGGCGGAATCAGCGGCGGATTTAAAGCTAATCGGGGAATTACGTTCGGATGACTTTTTTCAGCTTTAGATCGAGCTGTAGGTGTTTTATTATTTTTACGTGATCCACTATTACTATATCCTTCATTCCCACACCAGACATTATCCATCATCCTTCTTTCGGCAGCCAGTGCAGCTTTCTCCCATACTGACAATCCACTCCAAAGATTACCCCCGCCTAATTTTTGTCCTCCTTTCATCATCACTTGATCCTTTAATCGTCTTTTTTCGGATGCCTCTAGAGCTCTTTTTCGTGCCACTTCTATCGGCACATTCGAAGCTCCACCCAATCGATGACCCACAGTAAAGAAGCCCTCGCCAGTGTAACCTCTTTTAAGCAGTTCATCATACTCGTTGTTCAGATTATCTAGTATTTTATAAAATTCGGCGTCGTGTGGCCCGCGAACAATATGCGTCAATCTAACGAAAATGTAAGGTATAAATTTTTAGAGCTTGAATCAAAAAAAAAACATAACTGTAATGAGATAAATTCCTCACTCGTGCAACATGGTTCCAATTAAATCATCAAATTCGCAAAATCTTCTATTATCATGTGCTACCCGTAATCGAATACGTATTTCTTCACCGTGATTTACATTTAGGCCTGTGATCTCAATTGAAGAGATATGTTTAGACGAATATCGAGAAAAGCTTCTTGAAAATGGGCACACGTCAAGCCTCCTAAGGTAAAGGTTAAACTAGGATTGACATAAATCAACATATATACCAAGTAAACACGGATCTTCGGGGAAAAATTCTTTCAAAATTCCGACACGCCACCCATACTTTTTCATTATTGGCTTAACCTATAATTGACATGGAGTTTCAAGTCGTGATAAATCCTCTGATTAGTTAATTTACCCAGTAAAATGAAAGAAAAGGAAAAAACTATGAGTACAGAGGAGGCAATTCTCTTTAGCAAAGTCAAAGCCTCGGGATGGTTTGGATATGAGACTAAGACTTTGTAATCCCCTATACAATCGTTTGGGTTCGACATAGTGACAAGGAATAGCACTTTTCTTTTCCGACATTTTATAAAACGTGTTTAAAAAATCCGATTGGTTATCCTTCCCTGTAAATTAATTTATTCATTTTGCAAAAAAAGGCAAAGTTTTTACAGGGGGAAGGTACAAACAAGTTTAGATTCCCCTGACCCCAATAAAAGATGCAAAAATGTGAGAACCAATTTTTTATTACAGATCGGCAAATTTAACCGATTACAGTCACTAGTCATAATCGCTAAATGCTTATAGTACATTAATTTTATGTAGAAAGAGGCCAAGTTTTTTTAATGTAAATTATCTCATCTTTTCTGATTTCCCTTTCTCTCTCTCTCTTGGAAGGAATTGACGGGCAAATTGTGTAGCAAAAATATTTACAAAACGAAAAATAGTGTGCGTGACGGGGAAATTCTTAATAATAGTAGCTTAATAAGGGTAATTAATAAATACTAGAAATTTTTAAAACAACTGGTCAAGTATAGCGTGTTCGTATGGTTTTCTATGCATATTAATTATGTATAATTAGAGTAATATACGTATATTCCTTGGAAAAGACATATCAGAAAAAAAATATAAAAAGAAAATAATAAAAAAGCTATAACTTCGATGAAATAAACTCGGGTGAAAATAAGAAAAATATTTGATACTTTTTTTTAAAACGAACAACAAGGTTAATTAAATATAAGCTTTAAATTGGAAAAAAAATAATATGCACTGTATTATACGTATTCGGCTTATGGACGAGAGTTAAATTCTCAAGTTGGAAAAATTACACACTCTTAATGGTTCGCGTTGTTTTGATACCACGTATTTTGAGTGTGTAATTGTGTATAGTTGTGATATTGATGATTCGACGAAACTTGCGCGCTTACAGGTAGACTAATTTGCGGAACGGATTGTGAAGGTTGGTGTGTAATCATTCGCGATGGCATTGCGTTATAGGCAAAATTCCAATGACACGGATCTATTGAAACAAATTAAACAATTAAAAAATGCCATGCTTTTTTTTATATTTTCAATGGTAAATAACTTCTCGAAACAAAAACCTGCTGGCTTTATAGTAACTGAATTACCGGCTAATGTCTGCATACCGGCTAATGGTGGCATGTCACTCAAAGAAGGTGGGCTTGGAATCCCGCCCATAGATGTTGGTCCATTCCAGCAGTGTGTTTCTGAAAGCTGTGGTCCCCCCGTGTTAATTGACTGACTACCATTTGGTATTTGATTCGCGCCAAAGGTGGGTGTGTTGCTGATATTGGTATTTTCGTTTTGTTGTTGATCATGCAACGAAGTATCACAATTTATCGATTCTACTTCGCTTGGCAAAAAATTTTCATCAATAGAGGCATTGCTATTGACACTGGAAGAGCAAGCATTACACGGTAATTTCTGGTCAGACATTGCGGGGTTGTTATCGGGTGACAAAGATCCTTTGACTATAGGTATCGAAGAGCTATTATGGTCATCAAAAGAATTCAGTCCAACAGGTGAAGTACTTTCTAAATATCCAATTCGGTGGTCATTTGCATCCCGAAATTTTGAAGCACAACTCGATTTTACAGTCTCGATTGATGCCAAAAGAGGACTCTTTTGACTAAGGCGAGTCTTGTTATGATCTATATGACCAGACATCGTGTTGTCAGCTAATAAATGACTTCCGTTCGATATCAAACTCAGAGCCATCGTACTTCTGTTATTTTTTTGAGTTGAATCTATCGTTACATTGCTGCCAATTACAGAGTGTTTGTAATTGGTCCAAGAAGGAATCGGTTGACTTAATGATAAACTATTATTAAAACGATGATTCGCATTCATCATTACTGAATTCTGATGATTCATCATTCTATTTGCCGGTATTTGACAATATAAAGATGTATTCCCATTAGATGCAGTGGAAGATAACATTCCTTGCTGTTCAAAATTTGTTGGTAATAATGAAGTTGCGCCCGCAAGTACGTTAAGTCCCGAATGATAATTTGTACTTATACAATTCACATCATTAGATGATGGAATTCTTTCCGAAGGCGTGAAATTATTGACAGAATTCCTTTGATCGTTAATCTGATATTCATATTTGACCGGAATGGAGGGATCCGTCGTCATACTCTGATATCTTGGTGCGTTGTCCTCAGTCTGATTTTCATATTCGACCATATTCTCTACCATTATGGGACTAGGTAGACTGACAGTACTCTGCGAGCTACTATCATTTTCGAAAGACGAAGCTTGTTCTTGAAGAGCCAACACATTATTGTTTTCAAGCACTCGAGATTCTCCAATATCAATAAGAGACTCCTTATCCTTGACAGAATTTTCGAATGACGGCGCTACATTCTCATAACTTTCACGCTCTATTCCTGAAAAATTTTCGGCATTACTGACTTCAGTATTTCTCATATTTTCGAATTTGAGTAATGAAGCATCGTTTAATTTTTGTGACTGTTGTTGATTCTTTTTACTTGGCCGTCCTTTTTGACTTGGAATATTTTTAACTAAAATTGTGCCCGCAGGATAGCCACATAATAGATCAAGGGTTGAAGAGGTTGACGGCAAGGACATTGGAGGATATAAAGTAGGATCGCACGATAGTGATGAAGTAGATTCCGTTGAAGCAGCTTGCACTTGAGATCTTGATTGGTTGTTCTTATTATTGTTATTATTGTTGTTGTTATTATTATTTTTATTGTTATTTTTATAATCATTATTATTGTTATTATTAGGAAGGGGAGGAGGGTTCATGACAGTATCAGGATCTATTTTTATAATTTGACAGATTTCACGAATCACTGTATCAAGTGCTTGGTGAACTTTTTCCGTGTACTCTTTGCTTGAGCAGACAAGGGCAGCTACACGAGCAGCCATCGCCATCGTTTCGATCACTCGAGTTTCCGTTTCTCTAGCTTTAATCTTGCGTCTATTTCGCAAATCATGATATATATAAAAAATTAGAATAGGAGCACACGTGTATCCAAAACAAGTAATATCGAATTAAGGACGTGGCTGCGATGCAATGCTTGATCGGTAAATAAATCAAAGATAATGCAGCTAAAACCCATTTTGTGTAAAATTCATGCCTGATTTTTTCTTTGTCTTCCGTCACAATTTGACGATCGTTTATTTTTTAGATAAAAATTTTTCATGTACAAATTTGCCGTACATCGATTACACAGATGAAAAAACCATAAGACTGACCTTTCTTCTGATAGTCTATTGTAAAACCTTCTTTCATCCCACAATATATTAGGAAATTCTTGTTGAACAGCAATGCGTATTTCGTTCGTTGCCAATCCCAAACTGGCATGATATGCAATGCGTTCCACGACACGTGGGGGCCATGGCAACGGGATATGCTCAGGTGGCGACAGTTCATGATTATGCTCCGAAGATTGTGGATTTTGTGATTTCCTAAATTCCCATAGACGATCTTCTTCATTTTGGAATAAGACAATTCGCCATTTACAATCACATCGAAGGGAGGATCTTTTTCTTTTCGTTTGTTTGCCCGTCTTTTTCGAGTCCGACAGACCTTCACGTGAGCAATACAAATACACGTTCTGATATAAAAAGATGAAAGAGACCGATAGGTCAGAGCATCGTGGTAAAATATTTTTGCATTTCCGAGGTTTAGCTGTTACGCATTCGTAGTCAAGTATGCTAGGTGTCGGAGATTTGAATCTTGAATTTGGGCATGTGTATGCATACTTGCCTTATTGGCGCTTGTTTCTTGCTTGACAGTGAAACCGTATTCTCTGGCTAGTTGTCGACATGTCCCAGTCGCCAACTGAGAGGTCGCGAATTTTAAGGAATTGAGTCTAGCATAAAATGAATCCATCTAAATAAATAAGCAAACAAACGGGGAATTATTATTAAAGTTTGTTATGCATATTTATAAATTTTCTCAGATAAAAAATATCCATTTCAATAATAATGTAATGAATATCACCAAAAAAAATTCTTTAGGGATTTTATTGATTTATTAAATTTAAATAAGGCAATAGTAAATAATAGTAATAGTAATAGTGATAAATATTAAATAACAATAACTCACAACACCAAATTCAGGCGTAGGAGGCATACCAGCCACGCGAAGAATACAACCAGGAAACGAGACGTTATCTTCTGGTAAAAAAGACATATATGTAAAGTTGCGGAGGTGGTCGAGGTGGAGGGCAAGGATATAGGGGTAAGACGAGATAAAAAAAGTTTTTCGTAAAAGAATAGGAAAAGACAGAAAGAAGGAAAAAAAAAGGTGGAATTTTCCTAAGGACTATAAGGCGCACGCAGAAATATTAAAATATCGATGTTTATTCATAAAATTATTCTTATACTAAAAGTGATATTTATTTTTTGAAAGCGGAAAAGTTCGTTGCGTTATTGATGAAATAGTGATGATATACCGAATACTGTGAAAAAAATGTCAATTTTTTCAATATACAAACCCACACACACACACACACTACGCACATACACTAATAAAGTGAATATATATATTTATGTGTATATATGTATATGTGTATATGTGTATATATATGTATATATATATATATATATTATATAAAAATTACGTATTTAGAAGACTCTATTATTATGTATAAATTATTTTTTGGGATTGACATTACAATCAACGAAAATAAAAATCAGATCAAAGATAATGATAGGGCAGTGGCAGAAATGAACATATATGCTTGTCAATAATTCATTGTTTAGAGAAGGCAAAAAAAAAATTTTTTTTGACAAAGGGATATATTATACAATACCCAATTCTTCTCGATCCGAAATACAAGCTTATTTATTTACAGATATTCTTCTTGTAAGTTACTGTAGAAGGAAGACAATAATAAATTCTAGTGCGGTGATAACAATAAAGGTAAGAAAAAGCAGATCATCTCAAATCAGGGTTTTTAAACAAAAAGACGTGCGAATTTCTCAGAAAATAAATAATGTAGTAATTAGGATCAATCCTCCAAACAAACAAACTTTCTTTCGGATTTTTGAGAACAGTTCCTGATAAACTGAATTTTTAATAATACATGGCTTTTTGTATATATTTTTTAATTGTCAATGCTTTTATCTAAAATTAGGGAATAATCCTGATAGTTAAACAAAATTTATAAAGGTGCATTTAAATTTAATAATGACAATAAATTTTTTATTGTAATCCAACAATGATTCCCCTAAATTCTTTCTATATTTGGACTCGAATCGATTGACAAAAACTTCATTGTTCATTCTTTGGGAACAATGGAATTTGGTGGTTTATTGGGTGCATACGCGCGTATACGCGTGTCATTCTTTTTCGGGAAAACGAATGTTATAGAGTTCCAAGGCATCATAAGACAGATGTCCTTTTTTCTTCCTTAGCTTATTTTTCATCTTGAATTCTTTCGCTTCTTGTTTTTGATTCAGTAATACTTCAGTTTCCTTATTAACCATCTCTTCGAGTTCCTCTTGCGATATCTCCTTAGCTTTCATCATTTTCTCTACATCATGATCGAATTTATTCTGCTGTCGTAACCTAATTTGCGCTCTTTTATTTAGACGCGTACCTCCTTGACCATTCTCAAGTGTTTCCGTAGGAATCCGAAGTTCAGGCTCTAATTCCTGTCGAGCCAAAGTTTTAATGAGCATTTGATATTTTAGATCACCTGGCGCATCCACATATTCAATTACTGCCATCGGAGCGTTGTCCCCCTCCCTATTTCCTATTTTGTGAATACGTGTGTACCCTCCCGCACGATTACGATATCTTTCTGCCATTTCGCCGAAGAGCTTTGGAATAGTGATATAATGTTCCTATTGATGCATGTTAAGAAATAAAGTTATTGTTACAATAAAACAAATTTAACTATTATTGTTAATTCGGAAATTAGTGTTCATTTGTAATTCTCCGCTATATAAACAAATACAAATTTGGAAAGAAATTACGTTCAACGATAAAATGCGAAACTTTGAAAATCTTTACTAATATGTCGTCGGAAAAAATACAAAAAAATAACCGGTGAAAAGTTCGAGATGAAAATCACGCGATAATTACTCACACGAAGAAATGCCCTAGCTCGCACACCAGCACTACGGTCCCCTTTCTTGCCTAAAGTTACCATCTAATTGGTGTAAATTTCGAAAAATTTAGTAGAGAAATAAAATTTGGAAAATATAACATTTCATCTCACCTTATCAGCAAACTTCTTCAATTCCTTGGCTTTAGGCAAAGTCGTCTCTATTCTGTCATATCTTATCAGAGAGGTAACCATGTTACGAAACATGGACATACGATGGGCGGATGTTCGCCCAAGACGACGGTAACGTTTACTGTGTTTCATTTTCCGTGTTGCTCAGATTAAAGTACAGGAAAGTATGGGATATATATGTTCCAAATTGAAAGGAAACCTGTATAAATAAAGTTGCTGCTGACGTAATAAAAAAATAAGATCCGAGATTTCATTGGTTAAAACTGTGAAAATTTCAAGACAAAGGACATATGAAAAGACATATTTAGAGAATAGATTCTTTTGTATTCTAGTTATTTGCGCACCGAAGCAACATGCAAACCTCCATAGAGAGCTCCTTAGAGAGCCGGCTTGCTGAAAAATACGCTCGTGCGTTGAATCTTGGTGAGCTTTTCTTTATTGAAAGCACTGTAGTAAACGTAAAGGAAAACGACATAGAGGTAACTTGGCTTGTTTCTCTATTTAGTTGTACTTATTGCATGGAAGATAACTTGAAAACCATTAAGTAGTTTGAGATAAGGTTCGCACCAAGTTTGTACAAAAAGCCTAGTGGAAGTGCTGTTGCGACCGAAAATTCAAACAAGAAGTCAAAAGTTGACCCATTCATATTCTATAATCCTGTCTTATTAGTCGAGGAATATGGCGACTACATTGTTCTCTTGAACAAATTCTCCATTGCACCTCACCATATCCTAGTGGTCACCAAAGGTTTGGTTTTAAAGAGTTAGCAATGTCTATTCACATCATATTTATTTGATCTTCTCTCCTTAGAATACGAACAACAAACTGATCCACTGTTTCCGCGCGACCTTGAGGCTGTTTGGCATTACATGGTGCAGTTTAAAAGTAAGAGATCGCTCGCGTTTTACAATTGTGGCAATAATTCAGGTGCAAGGTATAAAAAGTCACGTCCAAAAAAGGCTTAGTAAGATAGATTTTGAATAAACCATTTATTAATCACTCATTTTATTTTTCCCATGATTCCATTCGGAAAAGTCAACCACATAAACATATCCAGATTCTTCCATTATCGAATGATCCGCCAATTAGTGCATGTTTTAATGACGTAGACAAAAAACCTGGTATCTATCTATCGCTATTGTTCCAAATTCTATTGTTAATCAACGAATTTTGAAAAAATATAGGCGAAAAATTCGACTTTCCGCAATTTTCCTTTATACATCACGTGATTATTCTAGATCAAAAGAGAATAATCGGATCATCAGAAGAAGTTATAGGGGAATATCTCGGAGAAGCATTTCATTCCCTGTATGATGCCATGATTGAAAGTCTGCGACTTCACAGCGAGAATGTTTCTGCAAACTTGGCTTTTCCCGTCTCTTACAATTTTTTGATGACCACTTCTTGGATGATTATGGTGCCAAGAATGCATGAAAATTTTAGACAAGTATCGGTAAATTCCTTGGGATTTGGTGGCATGCTGCTGGTGAAAAGTGAAGAGTGCTTAGAACTCGTGAAAAGTCTGGGGGTGATCAAGATTTTGGATGCCGTAACTGTGCCGAAGGATCTGGGGACTAGGCAGGATCATGCATAATGCGCAATCATTTATTTGCAGGTTTGAAAATAATAAATTTATTTTTTGCTTTGTTCTTTTTATAGTAATTCATGGAAACTTGTTCTGTTTGAATTAGTAGATTTTATATTTATTTAATGTATTAACTTAACGAGAAGGGTGAAACCGCATACACACTATCATTATTATTGTTTCACTGCCTAACAGGTTTTTTACTCAGATATATATATTTATATATGTATAACTCGATGCCAATTCTAGATTTTTCCCATGTTCGATCCCTACCGGATCCAGAGCTTTGTTTATCCAACATTTTGTTTCCAATTGTTTCTACCTGATGGTGATCGATTTTGATTCATACAGACGTAGCCACGGATTTACCGTTGCCGTGTGCATGGCGTTTTTACGAAACAATAGCGTTTGTGATTTGTTTGTGATAAATGTTTTTCATGAGACGTGGGATTGACACACAAAGAGTGTGTGAAAAGCATTTTATGTTCACTTTACGACGTCATATCTATAAAGATAATAATAATAGAATAGCACAATATAAATACCGCGTGTAATAGCATTTTTTCTATATTTGAATATTGATGATTGATTTCGTAATCCAAACAAATAAATAGATAAGCACTAACTTGAAAAAGGTCGATAGAAGCTTTCAAAAAAACTAAATTATCAAGATTTCACTTTGACACATCTATTTTTCTAGAATGAATTTCTTCAACAAAAGAATACGTAACAGATTACCTCACGTGATGATACAAATTTTTAATTTTACACGCGTCGTATACATTCAAATGCGTGCGCAAATTTTCCCAGCAGTGTTAATTAACACTTTGATTTGGCAACACTGATATAATGTATTGAATAATTATATTCCGTCTAGAATCTAAAAATCCTCGTCTAAATAAGTTTATTAAATAAATTCCAAACAATCTAAAACATTTTATTCTAATTGTCGTGATTTAATTTTGAGCCTTCAATATCCGCCAACACCATCTCTCTTACTAACGAATCAAAATCAACCTTTCGTTTCCATCCCAAAATTTTTTGCGCTTTAGTAGGATTGCCAAGCAACAAATCCACTTCAGTTGGACGAAAATATTTTGGATCAACATGAACACGAACTTTACCCGTTGCCGCGTCGCGGCCAACAATATTTTCACCTTCGCCTTCCCATACAATGGTGATATTTACTACAGCAAAGGCCTTTTCGACGAATTCGCGTACAGAATGAGTTTCTCCGGTTGCTAAAACATAATCATCTGGCGTGTCTTGTTGAAGCATCAACCACATTCCCTCTGAAATAAGGTCATCGATTGATGGACTTTTAATTTGATAATTAAAAAAAAAACCATTTGACTTATCAAATATTAATTACCTATATAATCTCTAGCATGACCCCAATCACGTTTAGAATCAATGTTACCAAGCCAAAGGCATTCTTGTTTATTAAGATGGATGTCAGCTACAGCGCGTGAAATTTTTCGTGTTACAAATGTACGACCACGTCTGGGAGATTCATGGTTAAAGAGAACGCCATTACAAGCATACATGTCATACGCTTCACGATAATTTACAACAATCCAGTAAGCATAAAGCTTCGCGACACCGTAAGGTGATCGTGGGTAGAAAGGAGTGGTCTCCGATTGAGGTGTTTCTACTACTTTACCATAAAGTTCTGAAGTAGAAGCCTGCAATAAAATTAAATTGTCTGACTGAGTAATACAAATATGAAATCACGAGAGATAATAACGAAATACATCTTACTTGATAGAATCTAATGTGCTTAGTGAGTCCACAAGTACGAATGGCATCCAGTAAACGCAAAGTACCTAAACCATCTACATCACCCTTTTTAATTTGGATTTTGTGAATTCAAGAACTGTTAAAATCAGCCATACGCGCTTATTAAAAACAATCAGCAAAATCTTACAGTATATTCAGCCATATCGAATGAGACCTTCACGTGGGATTGGGCTCCTAAATTATAAATTTCAGTTGGCAAAACTTGGGAAATAACGTGTACCAAATTCGTAGAATCCGTTAAATCGCCATAATGAAGAAGCATTTTGGGTCCTGTAATTGATAGTATGGCATCAATCATTATTAATTAGAGCAAACCAATCAGATCTTGCTCTTACGTTCGTGCTGATCTTTATACAAATGTTCGAGTCTTCCAGTATTAAAAGAAGAAGATCTGCGAATAATGCCATGAACAGAATATCCTTTATCTAAAAGAAATTCTGTGAGATATGAACCATCCTGTCCAGTTATACCTGTAATATCGATTAATAATCAATATTTGATTTCTATTTTTTTTTAAAAATACAAGCATTAAACGTGTACAAAAAACGCTTGAATAGTGTTTTGACCAAAAACTACCTGTTATTAATGCAACTTTTCTTTTCCTGTATTCTTCCGGTGAAAGAGCTAAAATTTCCAAAGTGTTATGTTGAGAGGCAATAGACATTTTTATATTCCCACAGAGAGAAATATGCAATATGAAAGATGGAGGGAGTGTAAGTTAACTAATTTATGAGAAAAAGAGCGAGAAAGTGAACTTAAAACTTTTTTGTGTAATTCACCAAAAGAAGGTAGTAATTAACGTTTGCATATAGAATCGAGCAATTAACGTTAAGCGCAAATCATCACATATCCGGGTTAGATATTAAGCATGATTTGAAATTAAAATTCAGTAAATTTATATTGATCATAGACAGCATGGCCGAGTGGTTAAGGCGTCAGACTCGAAATCTGATGGGCTCTGCCCGCGCAGGTTCAAATCCTGCTGCTGTCGGAACTTTCACATGATTTTTACGCAAAAACCGTGCTAAAAATTAGAAAAAAATAAAATTGTAATACTCAGCAAATTGCAAGATTATCTTTCTTTAGGGACCAGTCAATCATTTTGTTCCCATAGAATCTATTGCTCTATCCACATAACCTAAGCATCTTGTGGTACAAGTTACGTCAATCATTTGATATTGTGCCAAAGTCATCAAATGAAGAACAAAATTATTTCTTAAATTGAACGAAGCAATTTCTGTGGCACGATTTTTTGCAAATAAAAGACAAACTTCAGGCAAATGGCAGTCGCCAAGTCCTCTAAAATAATTAAAGACCATAATTCGATATATGATTAGTCTTTTTAGTCTTTTCTAACACTTAAAGGTAAAAATAATCAGATTCATTTGTAAAGAAAATGTATACCTGTACGGTTCAATGTGCCTATTCCACATCTTCATGAGTAGTTTTTCCGAGTTATTTAGTTCTGGTAATTCATCCAAATTCTAAAAACAATATCTTGATTAAGCCATTTAATATTTGATTATTAATTTAGTCACTCCGCTTTTACCTCATCACTAGTTTGTTGTATCCAATGGGTACACATCTCTTCGTCTGAGTCACCATCAGAATCATCAGGTGTGAAAGGCATGAAAGACTGCGAATGATAAAAATTCATCAGTGGCAATTGAATAGGCTTTGAATTTTGAATTATTGGGAAGGCAAATGATTTGGGTCGTAAAACTCCTTCCGACTTGACAAGGCTAAAGTATTCTAGATCGGAATGTTCCTCATTTACGACTGTGACAATAATTCGATCACTGGGTACATTTTTCCCATTCTAAAGTTGACGAATCAACAATCGATCGATTAATAAAATATTAGAGAATCAAGACAGCCTCAAAAAATTCACACCTTTGTCCCGAATTTGAGATGAACGTGATTGTTTGAGAGATGATAAAATAAAGTACGACTATCCAGATAATCACGATTACACCATGGACATATAAATCCTTTGACCATTTGTTTAATGTCACAATCCACGACACGAAATATGAATGTAACTGGGAGAGCTTCTTCTTCAGATTTGACGCAACTTCGATAAGATTTAATTGTCGTGGAAGTCAAAAGTTTGCTTGATTTCATAGTTAATCGTTGTTGCTCTTCTTTTATTCGTCTGTTATAGAGATCATTTAACGAAATGTATTTATGCATTTCAATTTTACCACTAATTGGCCTTTTTTTGCGAGCTTGTACCATATAAGTAAGATTTCTCGTGAGAAATCTTTGCTATTTTATGGTGATAACAATTTTTTGTTAATAAAGTAAAACAGGCATGTAAGCTACGAAAAAGTTGTTCAAGATCAAGAAGCTTACTGGGCGTTCCGAAAGGAATCTATACAAACATGTTGGACCTTTAAAGAGTAATCTTGTCAATTAGTTTGCATGGAGGGTTAGGAAAAAAGGACTATAACAGGTACCAGTAAACGCTTCTCGGAATTGCGGTGTGGTTTTTGCCTTATCTTTGAGTAACGAACGTTTAGGCGCACTCCTGGCCACCATCTTCGCGTCGCACTTTTATTATTTAAAATATTCTGATTTACAAGAACTATGAGCATTTCATGTGAGCCAATGAAAATGCGATATATATAATCATTTTTCACGTGAAAGGACAATTTGTTCTAAATTTCGATAAAATTATACATAGGATTAAGCCAATGTCAAAACATCAAAGACATGACCTAAAAACCAAATCATATGACTTTAAATTGGCAATCCTACAGTTCATGTGATTTTTAATAGATAAATCAATCAAACCGCGTAACGGAAGGATTCAAAACAAATGTTAATTTTGAATCACTTTCTGTGTTCTAACAAAAAAATGTTCCCTTGCGAAATTTTACGTTTTTACGCGCACGATATATAATATAATCTTAACTCTGACTCTAACCTACTCTAGACCATCTTAAAATTCCATTATGGTTCTCAAGCATACATACTAGCTTTTCGTGTTAATAAACTTGCGAATATATTTACGTAAGTGATTATAAAATATTATGGAACGGTCTCCTTCAGTTTACGTTTTGTGGTAAATGAAGGTGTCTTTAAAAATCTCGGTAGAAGCCGTGCTCTAATAGCGAACACCCTTGGAAATTACAAATCACTCCTTGGAAATTACAAATCACTTCATGCCGGACGTAAAGTATTTACTTTTTTATACAGTAAGTTCTTAATTTCTCCTTGTTTCGGCAAGCACGCTTGTAAAACAGTACAATAACCAAATGACTTATTCGCATTTCTTTAGACGTAAAAAAGCACAGTTATCGCTTGATACTTATGAGAAGGCGAGTAAGAGCTCTTATTATTTCTAACGGCTCGTCGGATAATGTTGCTTTTTCTCTTTGCCGATTAATTATACACTGAGAAGCTTTACTCTACGTCTAATATCTCGTCGTAAGTTATGGATGCTTCTGATTTAAATGTGGGGGTCTTGGTAGTGTTGGCGCGTAGGTAACCTTTGAGGTTGCCTGGCGTTCGGTAATATTGGGGGCGCGGAGGTGACCTGTCACTAAAGGCTTCGAGCTGACCTGATACTGACCCCGTTGAAGCCAGGTTGGTCTTCGAGGTTGATCTTTAGTTAAAGGCTTCGAGACGATGCAACGGATGAGAAAATTAAGAATATTGTTTTGCACGGAATAGCTCACGGAGGTAAGATGTACGCCATGTACTACGATGCTGATATTAAATATTATTTTTTGTTCAAGACGTCAATATTGGATCAGAACAACATGAGGAAACATTCCCGAAAGTTTGTCTATATACAAAAAGTCGAAACAGAAAAACGTGCGACATTCAAACAATGTAATAAAATTGTGGCATTTGTTCTTTCGTTGGGCAGGCTTATGGCTAGGCCACAAACTTGGGATCCGGTATGGAAATTATGAGATGCAAATTTTTGTGACCCTAAAAGCTGTTCTATGTTTAAAGGTATGCCATTGTATTGTCGATTTGCTAGTTGTAATGTATTTCTTACGAAATTTAATTATTTTTAATAATTGCAGAATGATATAACAAATGTTCTTGGTGATGAAGAGTTTCGTTAAAAACAAAGCCAGAAGAGTTATTTACTATTGACAAACAACACCAACCCAGTATATAGTTTAGGATAACGTTTTCATTGCAATAAGGAAGAAAAATTATTACTACATTTCTAAAATGTAATGCAATTGCACCTGTAAATTCTAGAATCTTTATATTCCAGAACATGAAGAAACCTACGATTCTGTAGGGTGGCAGCCACTAAAAAAAATCCCTACAGAGAATAAAAATGAACAACTTCATCATTTTGTTACAAAACATCCACAAAAACAGAGTTAATAACATACTCCCCGAATTCGGTCCCTCACCTGACTACTCCGTCGAAGACGGCCTAGATCAAGCTGAAACCTACTGATCTTATGGCGAATATTCTACGACCTCCTTTGCGAAGTCACCTTAAAACACTGAAAAGATGGATACACTATGTTGCAAAAATGACAGCACAACATCAAAAGTTCAGAGCATCATTCATTAAAACTAATCATAAACCACCTTGTCTTCGTAGATGATATCTGCTGGATCATCAAGTCCGAATTAGCTATGCTCCGTATCCTTGAACTGCAAACAGTTTTTTCTCTTACACTGATATTAATATTAATATAGAAAAGACTGAAATTATGCGTATTTATCACAATAATGATTACAAAATGCATTTCACACTTCACAATGGAAGAGACTATAAAAATTATTCCACCAAACCAAAGCATATACTACCGTAAAACGCCGTGCAAAATACCCCGGATATCTTACATTCTACCCCCATATAATTTGATTTATACCCGGGGGTATATTGTAAGGAGATAGGATATTTTAGGTTGAGGATTTTGTAAAGGAGGTATATTAGACGGGGGATATATTAGGCAGAGGGTATATTAGACCGGGGGTATATTAAACAGAAATAAAACACGTTTTTTTATCTAACATGATTTTGATCTTGACGCGTTTTTATCTGACACGATTTTTGATTTTAATACTTCAAAATGACACGTATCAAAGCTACTTTACCACTTGTACAATTGCCTCAAAAAAAGAAAAGATAATGGACTGCAAGAGAAAAATTAACTATTTTTATATAACTTGACAAAGTTCCAGATGCTAGTATTTGGGCAAATTTACTATCCAATCATGTCAGATTCAAGCATGGCAGAAAAAAAAGATTAACTTATGTTAGCTTAATCTCATATCAAGTATTTAAATGCTAGTGTATAACCAAATTATCTAATTTTAAAAGAAGTATACAAGTGAATTAAAGATTTATGAAACAAATTAAAAGTCATAACTTGCAGTATATTTCAAGTTAAATTAAGAACTTTGACAAAGACTTTCTGATATATTGAAATTTATCCTAATATTGAAGAATTTAAGTGGAGTAATAAATAAATTGATAGCTTTATAATCTTAGTAATCATCATCAAATAATAATAGCATAATGCTTGCTAAAAGATCTTGAAGTAAAATAATATGAATTTTTAAAGTTTGTATTATATTATTATATTCAATATAATTATTCTCTTATTTTAATCAGCAATATGGATAAAGTATCTTTAATATTTAATTTATTAAGTATTATAATAATTGAAGAAATTAAATTATATATAGTTAGTATTCAAACTTGTAATCATAAAAAATTCATGATTTTGATATACATAATTAATAATGCAAAATTATTATTAATAATAATTTTTAAACTTAAAAATATTTCTTATCTTAATTTTTTATCTAATATAATTATTCAAATAAAATTAGATGAATAAGAAGAAGATATTATATTAGATTAAATATATTTAGATTAATCATATATTAATATTAGTTAATTCTCATTTATTATTGATTATAAATTTATTTTGTAAATATTTAATTAAGTCTGTAAAATATTATTTTGTAAAAAAAAATATAACTCTTGTAATAATATCTGATAAATTAATATCAAAATTATAATTACTTGATATCTATATTAATAAATCTTTCAAATCAAAGATATGTGATAAAATTAATAAATTATATTAAATTAATAAGTAAATATTAATATATTTATTATATATCAAGCTTTAAATTATTTATAATAACTAAATAGCATTAGAAATTAAAAATATAATATTAACTAGATATTTTTAAAGATCTTTTTACAATCTTATAGTTAAATGGATCAAGTATATATAAAGTAAAATTAATTCTTAAATAATTTATTACTCTTTTAAGTATTATAGAATTTTGAATATATCTAATAGATTAAAGAAAGAATTAGTTTTTAATTATAATAAAATTAATCTATGATCTTATAAAATACAAAATCCTATTTTTGAAAATGAATCAGATAATAATAATAAAGAAAAAGAAAGAAATTAAGATGAAAATGATAGTAATTAAGATAAGATTATTTATATCTGAAAAATAAAAAAGAGAAAGTTATAAAAGTAAAAGAATTTAATTATTATTATACTTTGCAAGAGACAGAAAATTATATCAATATATGAAATTAATTTTTGTAATATAAAATTAAAATTAGAAATAAATATAATATAATTTTGTTTTTAATTTGTAATTTATAAAAAATTAATAATTTAAGAAATATATCTTCTTATCTTTTTATATTTGAGATATTATTCTTCTTTTTCTTTTTCTTATTCTTTTACCCTTCTAAATATATTAACTAATATCTAATATATTTCTAAATATAAATAAATATTTATTTGCTTTTAAGAATCTGTCTAAAAGTAAACTTTTTATATTTTTTACTTATAATATACTGTCATACTATTACATATTTTAATTAATCAATCAGGATCTAAATTATAAAATATATTTAGATTTACTATAATTTTCAAAAATTACTATATATATATTATACTAAATATATATAAGAGATATTATAAAGAAGAAATATTTTACATAATATTTTATAATATTTTAATATATAATTTAGAATAAATAAAAAGATAAATTCAATAATCTTTATAATAAATTAAAAAATAAAGTTAATTTATAATCTTTTTAATATGATTATTATATTAACTATTAAATATTGAATTAAATGTATTTTTTTCTTTTTATTAAAAATTAAAAAATAAAACTTATTTATAGTTAGTATAATAAAAAATATATTAATTTTATAACTTTTTATTAATAACTTTCTATTATTTTTATATTTATAATTTGATTAATTTGAAAAATTTATAAACAAGATATAAATTAATAAGCTTTTTATAAGACTAAATAATAATAATATTTTATTAATAATAATTTATATTTATTTAGTTAATTTTTGAAATATATATTGATTAATTTTTGAAATAATATATTATAAAAAAATTAAAGCAGAATATAATTTAATTACAAATATTATAAATATAATATATATAAAAAAATATTATTTTTCTTATTTATAAATAGCTTAATAAATATATTAATAATAATAAAATAATTTATTTAAAAAGAATATATTATATTTACTTACAATATTAATAAGAAAAAAAATTTTATCTAATTTAAATTACTAAAATTTTATATTTTAAATAGTAATAGAAATCTTGTCATATATAAATAAAATTCTTTATTATCTATTTTAAAATATATCTTAACTTAACAAATAATAATTATTTATATAATATTATAAATATAAATAATATATTTATAAAAATAGAATTATTAGTTTTTATATTAGATATAAGTTATTATTATTAAATAAAATATAAATTATCTTATAAAAATAATATTATAATATTATTTATATTAATAAATTAATATAAAATCAAGATATAATTATTTTAATTAATAATATAATATAAATTAACTTCTTATAATAAGTTAATTTTATAATAAATATCTATATTTAAAAAGAATTAATAATTACTAAAAATATTATAATTTTTCTAGTTTTTTCAAGTTATTTAAAATTTATTATTTATATAAATAATTAAGCTTTAATAAATTTTTTTCTCAAAAAATTATTAGTTTATTTTATACTTAAGATTATAGTTTAATAAATCTAATTTAATATTATAATAATTATTAAAATCAAATTTATTAATTTTAAGTTTAGAATAATAAAAATATATATAAATAATTATCTAAATAATAAGTTAATAAACTAATATTTATTAATTTTAATCTTTACTTTATTTAAGTTCTTGAAAAATATATTAAGAGAAGAGATTCTATTAAAATTATTACTTAAGATATTATAAATAATAATTTTTTATTTAAAGAGATAAATAGAATAGTATATAAATTAATCTTTTTTATTCTTAATATTATTGCAAAAAATTCTTATCTTAATTTATTATAAAAAGAATTATATATTATTATAATGAATTAGTAAGTGAATTTTTATTTAAATTTATCTTAATAATATAGAATTAGGAGAAATTGAAATAATTAAAGAATAAAGAGAGAAAAATTAGACTATACTTTCAATAATAATAAAGATTTCTAAGATCTGTACTAATATCTACAGATATTATCTTAATAAAGAGTAAAATAAATAAAGAAAAAAAGAAATAAATCAAAGAAATTATAAAAATTAGCTTAGTAAAGTCATTAATAATTGATATTAAAA